TCCCTTTATGCCATCACCCTAAATCTCTCCAGAGACGCAATCGGAGAGATCCCAATTATGGGTGCCTGGGTCAAACCACCCCTTCCTTTCACGCACACACCCTGCCCTCTTCCCGCCTCTCCAGCCTCCTGAAGGTCCACCTGCAGCTGCACGGATTCAGCGTCTTCATCGACGTGGAGAAGCTGGAGGCCGGGAAGTTTGAGGACAAGCTCATTCAGAGCGTGATGAGCGCCCGGAACTTCGTGATGCTGCTTTCGCGCAACGCCCTCGACAAGTGCGTGGGGGACACCGAATGCAAAGACTGGGTGCATAAGGTGAGAGGGCTTCCCCCTGCCGGGGATCGTAGTGTCTCTGGGTTTGGGGGGGGGATGGGGATGAAACTCAGAGAATCCTAGAAGAGTTGGGTGGGACCCCCAAAGGACATCTAGCCCAACCCTCTGCAATGCAGGAGACGCAGCCCAATTCACGACAAAGGGCTTCTCCTTGAGCTGAGCTGCCAGCCATCTGTCTCAGGAGACAACAGAGGAGTGTGCCTTGGGGAGTCAAAACGTTGGAGAATCGCAGCGCTTGCTGTGGCTGCGGAGGCTGATACAGGAGAGACATGTTTTGTTGCAGCCGGGGCAGAGGAAGGCGTCCGGTTGTGCTGCTGCAGATGCACCAGGGCGTTTCTTCTCTCTGGGCTCCTCCCAGGGGTCATTGCTCTTCTGGTCACTGCTGTGGATGCATGACCAGTCTGCCTGTCTCCAGGCGCTGCGGTCATCTGCAAGGGATTTCCACAGGGCAGGGATCTCCTTGGGGATCCTGCCATCTTCCATCCTGTGGACATGACCAAACCAGCACAGATATCACCAAGACAGGAGTGCAAACAGGCCGGGAACATTTGCTCATTGAGAGGGCACATCTTTTGGGGAGACTTTGTCCTGCCACGTGATGCCCAAAAATAATGTACGTGGAAGCCAGCAGGACAAGAGGAAGGGAAATCATATTGAACAAACACACCCCTCCCTAAGCAATATTTTCTTCTCTCTTTTTAAATGCATATCCTTCACAGGAAATTGTCACAGCCCTGAGCAGCGGGAAGAACATTGTCCCGATCACAGACCACTTTGAATGGCCGGATCCAAAGACCCTTCCTGAGGACATGAGAGCCATCCTGAAGTTCAACGGGATCAAGTGAGTGGGATCAAGGAGTGTCCCTGGGGATAAGGCGGGCGGGGGGGGGGCAATTTCTGGAAGCTGGTGCAACGCAGCCAGCTGCTTGTGGGGGGGGGGTGAATCTGGGGAAACGCAGAGAGACGAGGCTGAATCTGAAAGGGTTTGAAACCGATTTAATGCTAATAGTTTCAGGTGCAAAGGACGCTTTTGAAGCACCAGGCTTGAAGTTGCACCCTTTCCCCTGCCCCTTTCCAAACTGGTGCTCCAGTTAATGCAGGAAAAAAATTGGGAGCCCTACACAAGAGCTGTAGATTCCCCACAGCCCCTTCCACCCCAAGCACTGCATGGCTTGGGGCAGCTCAGGGGTCCTCAAACTTTTTCAGCAGGGGGCCGGTCCACTATTCCTCACCAGAGGCCGGCAAGGTTTACTGGACATGGGCCAAATAATTCCCATGGAGATCGTCTGTGGGCTGGACTGGCACAGTGCAATGCTGGAAATCGCGTCTGCGCATGTCTGCGGTGCCGAAAATCGCTTCTGCACATGCCCAGACGCCGAAAACCACTTCTGTGCAGAAGCAATCTCCAGCATCTGGACATGAGCAGACATGATTTCCGGTATCTACGTATGTGCAGACGCGATTTCTGGCGCTGCTCTGTGAGTGTCCGTGCCATGCTGCGCTGCTTTAGGGGGGACTCGCCGAGTGTGTGGCTCGGTTCGAGGGCTGCTCATGGGCCAGTAAAACGGTCTTTGTGGGCCGCATCCGGTGCATGGGCCGCACGTTGCCGACCCCTGCCTCAGATCTTGTTGGCGGCCAGACTATATTTTTGGGGGGATATGAACGATGGACGATGAGCGGCGTGCGAAAGGGCTCCAGAGAGGGGCTGCTTAAAATGGCGGACGCTCGAGCGCTGCTGCTGGCACCAACCAAGCCCAGCCCCCTGCCTCCTCTAGGCAGGGCAGGGAAAAGCCAGGAGGAGGGAGGGAGGAGGCGCCGCCGCCATAGGAGGGAGAGGGAAAGAACACGCACTGGCAATCCATGCAGCGATTCCTGGACCGTCCGCGGGCCAGATTTAGAAGGCTATTGGGCCTGATCCGGCCCGCGGACCTCAGTTTGCCGACCCGTGGTTCAGCTGTTTCGTTTCCACTTCCCATGCAGATGGTCCCACGAATACCAAGACGCCACCATTGAGAAGATCATCCGCTTCCTGCAAGGCCGCTCCTCCCGGGATTCCTCCGCTGGCTCGGAAAACAGCCTGGAGTGTGGGCCCCCTCAAAACTAGGGAACTGGAAGGTGCTCCCCCCAACGGAGCAGAGGAAGGGGGTGGTGGGTCGGAGTGGGAAGAAGAGGGAGACCCTTTGCTTCTGTCCCCAAGTCTGCACTCCCTAGAGAGGGGCCTCACCCCCTGCCCACCACCCCAGCTTTTGCAGGCTCAGCCACCGCTGCGTGGGTGCCCCCTGCTGGCTGCCTTTGGGATATGCCAATTAGGTTATGCAAAATTCCGGAAGAAGCTGCCCTGCAAGGACAGTTGGAGCAGCAAACTTTCTCCTTTGCTAGTGGCCTTTCACCAGAGGTTCTTAATTCTTTGTGTGCCTGGGTAAGATTTTTGGTTTCTCAACCAATTAGGTTATTACTTTGCTGTTGGGAAGTTTGGGCTTTGTAGTGTTTATCTTGTATTAAAATATTTATCAGATTCTAGGCTCCAGAAGCTTCCTTAGGTGTCTGCTCATCTGTTTTTTAAGCTGAGCAAATGGTCAGAGGTTTACGAAATAACTGCTTTTCAAACCCCTTCATAAACCATCAAGAGCTGGGAAGGAGCAGCAAAGTGGCCGAGTTTGCTGATGGTGGTGCTCAGTTGTTCAGGGACGTTTAGACACAAAAGAGATTGCAAAGAGCTCCGAAAGGACCTCTCCAAATGGAGCGGATGGGTGGCAAAATGGCAAATGCAATTCAATGCAAACAAGTGTTAAATGATGCGTGTCAGGTCAAAAAAGTCTTAATTTCATGTTACCTGCTCCTGGGGCCCTGAATTGCAGGTGGCAGACCTTGTGGTCCCAAGAGACAGCTCAGTGAGGTTGACCGAGCGACAATGCGCATTCCTTGCAATGGATGGTTAGGAAAGGAACTGAAAACAAAACGGTCAGGATCATGATGTCGTTATAGAAATCTATCATGCGGCCACATTTGGAGAACTGTGTCCAGTCCAGTCCTCAAAAAGGCGATGTTCAGGAAAGGGCAGGCAAAACACCCAAAGGGGTGGAACGTCTCTCAATGTGGAAAAGGTTGCAGCATTGGGGATGTGAGAAAGAGGCGCCATGATAGAAGTTCATAAGGTTATGCGTGGCCTGTTGAAAGAGCAGGGCTGCTCACTACTCCTGGAAGGGGCCCCCGAGGCTCATCTGTTGTTAGCCGCCCTGAGCCCGGCTCGGCTGGGGAGGGCGGGATATAAATAAAATTTATTATTATTATTATTATTATTAGTGCACCCTCTTGCAATGCAGGAATCGCAGCTAAAGGATCCCTGACAGGTAGCCATCTGACCTGCTGGAAAAACCCCAGTGTGCCTTAGCAGCAGAACAAGCCAGGCTTTGCTGTGGCTGCACACAGCCCCTTATTCTTCCTTGGCTTTTATATATCTTATCTTTTCGCTTTCCAGCACCCAGCCTTTCCTCCCCGTGCCAGGCTTGTGGACGCTTGGGTGGGAGATGGGTAACAGAGTGCCCAGGGAAGGTCCCCCCTCAGCCACCACCCAGTTCCCCCACTCAGGGCCTTGGTCTTGATGACCCCCAATAATTGCAATTTCCACCCCTGCCAGTCAATTTTAAGGACAGGATTCATGGGTCCCTTGGAAGGTGCCTCTTTACTGAGCCAGACCACTGGGTCTGCCTGCACTGACTGGCAGCAGCGGCTCTGCAAGGACATCCTTGAGAGCCAGTGTGGTGTAGTGGTTAAGAGCAGTAGACTCGTAATCTGGGGAACCAGGTTTGCTTCCCTGCTCCTCCACCTGCAGCTGCTGGGTGACCTTGGGCCAGTCACACTTCTCTGAAGTCTCTCAGCCTCACAGGATGTTTGTTGTGGGGGAGGAAGGGAAAAGGAGAATGTTAGGCGCTTTGAGACTCCTTAAAAGGTAAAGGGACCCCTGACCATTAGGTCCAGTCATGGCCAACTCTGGGGTTGCAGCGCTCATCTTGCTTTACTTGCTGTGGGAGCCGGCGTACAGCTTCCGGGTCATGTGGCTAGCATGACTAAGCTGCTTCTGGCAAACCAGAGCAACGCATGGAAAAGCCGTTTACCTTCCCACCGGAGCGGTACCTATTTATCTACTTGCACTTTGACGTGCTTTCGAACTGCTAGGTTGGCAGGAGCAGGGACCGAGCAACGGGAGCTCACCCAGTCACGGGGATTTGAACCGCTAACCTTCTGATCAGCAAGTCCAAGGCTCTGTGGTTTAACCCACAGCGCCACCTGCATCTCTTGAGACTCCTTAGGGTAGTGATAAAGCGGGATATCAAATCCAAACTCTTCTTCTTCATTATCCTGCATGCAAACAGGTTGGAAATCACAGGAGGGGAGAGGGCGCTTAGGTCCTGCTGTGAGAACAGGACACTGGACTCGGTGGGCCCCTTTGGACCTGACCCAGCAGCCTTTTCCGATGTTCTCATGATGTTCCTGAATTGCCAGATCTTCCCTCTTATCTGTTCTCGGTGCAGAAGGACAGGGGAAGGAGTGGAAAAACACTCCCCCCCCCCAGGCTGAGAGCATCTCCAAGGCCGCTCTTTAGGGCCCCAGTTGGCACACCTCAGAGTGCCAACATGCCGCAAAAGGGCAAAGAGAGGATCCAGCATCTTATCAGCACACACCTCCAACTTTATTGCGACACGTCCTTTGATGCACACCCTTGCCCAGGTGGGTCCGGGAGCAATTTGCCACCAGCAATTTCCCCTCCAAGTACGAATGGGGAAGCAAACTTGAGTGGGAGGGGGGCACCACCTCCCTTGGCACAGGAGGGCCAGCTGTCATCGAGAGAGGGGCCGCCTCCCCCTTGGCACCCAAGTCCATCCAAGAGGGGCAGCTGCACCACTGGAAAAGGAAAATACTCCCCACTGCTGGGGTGGGTGACACCCCCAGAATGGGCAAGGAAGAGATTTGTGGGAGAGAAAAGGGAGCTTTCTTTGTGATCTCCCCTAAAAGCCAATGTGAATGGCACACACAAAGCCCACTCTCTCTCTCTCTCTCTCTCTCTCTCTCTCTCTCTCTCTCACACACACACACACACACACACACACACACACTCCCCTGGTTAGGATTCCTACTCCCAGCTCCACAGATCTGAAGAAAGGTTCTAGTCCTCATGACACACCCACCCATGACACAGAGATCAAAGCATGTCTCAGAGGAAAGTTACCCCCCCCCCAAGTTACATTAAAAGGCCAAACGTGAAGAGCCAAGAGGAAATTGTTTTCAAGTCATTGGAGAGGCACGTGCAGAAATCAGCTGCCGGTTTCTGGAAGGGTGGCAACTCAGGTTCAGCTGGTCATTGTTCGGCCTCCTGCAGCGGACCAGGCATGTCGGCAAAGTGGCTGTAGTCAGGTTTTGAGTCCTGGATTTCGATCCACCTGGGGTAGGGAGGGGGGCAGAGAGAAAAGGGGCAGAGTTAAGGACCTCCGAGGAATGGAGCCGATAGAGCCCAGGGGGTGCAGCAGCTGCGGAAAAGGCGAATGCCATGCCAGGCATCATTAGGAAAACAAAAATTAAAACTGCAGCTCTTATAATGCCACGATACAACTGCATTTGGAATACTATGTACAGTTCTGGTTGCTCACCTCAAAAAGGACACTGCAGAGTTGGAAAATGTTTCAGAAAAGGGCAACCCAAATGGATCAAGAGGGGTGGAAGAAAAATTGCGGTGTTTGGGACTTTTTAGTTTAAATGGCGACATTACAGGAATTTATAGAATTCTGCATTACAGGGTGAAAGTGAATAGAAAAGACTGTCCCTCCCTCTCTCAGCACTGGAACTAGTGGAGATTCAATGAAACGGATGGATGGAAGATTTGAGACTTCTTCACACAGTGCAGAGTTACACTGTGGAACTCCCTCCCACATGAGACAGGGATAGCCAACAACTTGGATGGCTTTTAAAGAAGATTAGGCAAATTAATGGAGGAGGGGAGGGTTCTGGAGGGTTCCTAGCTAGGAGGCTCTGCTTCGCTTCCATGCTTGGAGGCAGCTGGAATCCCAGCTTGCTGGAAGCCGCAGGAGGGGAGAGTTGCTCTTGTGCCCGGATCCTGCTTGTGGGTTTCCCATTGGGGCGTCTGGTTGGCCTCTGTGAGAACAGGAGGCTGCACCAGATGGGCCCCTTTGCCTGAAGAAACCAGGCTATCCTTCTACACTTACCCCATTTCTTCCTATATAAATAACAACGGAAGGCTGTCGTCACGCTGCAGTTTGAGTAGCTGCCACTAGGGCTCCCTTTGGCCTGACTCAGCCACAGCCAGGCGGCTCTTATGTGACCGTGCGATGCAGGAAGCCAGGATGGTCAAGATGGAGAGAGGAGGACTTACCCGATGATGGCGGCTGGAACGAGGAGGAGGACGGCCCCAAAGAGGAAGGGGAAGCCTTTCATGAAGGAGAGGCTGGCGGGGTAAAGGGAGTTGAAGACCCCTGTGGCCACCAGCGAGCAGAGACCTTCCACGCAGGCCACGGCAGCAAAGAGAGCGCCTGGAGGGGAGAGTAGAGAGCTGAAGCACGCATGGGACACCCAAGGGGCATGCCCCCAACCCCAAACGGTGGGTGTTTTCATAAAATCATAGAAATGGAAGGGGTCCCCAAAGGTCCTCTAGTCCAACCCCATGCAATGCAGAAATTGCAGCTCAAGGATTCCTGACAGGTGGCCCACCTGACCTCTCCAGTCAAGGAAAGACCATCTTATGAAGGAGTCTGCTCTTCCCAGGGTGCTGGGAACTGTAGTTCTGTGGTGTCCAGACCTTCCTAGCTGGGGGATCTGAACTTGCTCTTTGTCCCCAGCAACACACACACACACACACACACACACACATACGGAGGTGTCAGCTGATTTGGGATCCTACCCAGTAAATGCACAACTGCTTCTCCAGTAAATGCACAACCGCTGATTCTTGCAGCTCGTTGCCAGTGCAATGATTTAAGGATTTTGCTCATGGGAGAAGAAAGAGAGATGTGGGGCAAGGGATCTCTGCCACCCCCTGCAAATCTTATATTCTACCACCTGAGCAGGCATGCTCCCGAGCGCTCCTTGCGCCCACAAGGTGGGAGTGGGGACCCCTTGCCCCTTCCCAGACATTGCTGGACCGCAACGCCCGCCATCCTCTCTGTCTTCTGGCCAGGCTTGCTGGGGCTGGTGGGAGTTGTAGTTCAGTAACAGCTGTATGGAAGTGAGAGATGGACCACAAAGAAGGCTGATCGCCGAAGAATGGATGCTTTTGAATTCTGGTGCTGGAGGAGACTCTGGAGAGTCCCATGGACTGCAAGAAGATCCAACCTCTCCATTCTGAAGGAAATCAGCCCTGAGTGCTCACTGGAAGGACAGATCCTGAAGCTGAGGCTCCAAGACTTTGGCCACCTCATGAGAAGAGAAGACTCCCTGGGAAAGACCCTGATGCTGGGAAAGATGGAGGGCACAAGGAGAAGGGGACGGCAGAGGGCAAGATTGGTGGGACAGTGTTCTCGAAGCTACCAGCATGAGTTTGACCAAACTGTGGGAGGCAGTGGAAGACAGGAGTGCCTGGCGTGCAACAAACAGCTGGAGGGCCAAAGCTTCCCACTCCTGCCATGAGGACTAGAAACTTTTGAGTTTGTTTTTTCTAAGTCTCTAGTCCTTATGGTAGCAGTGGGAAGCTTTGGCCCTCCAGATATTACTGAACTACAATTCCCATCAGTCCTAGCTGTCGGCCATGTTTGCTGCATGTTTGCCCCAATGCATTCTGGGTCAGGTGATCTGGCTGTGGGTCACTGAACCCTTGCTCTGCTTACCTTGCTCCTTCTCATCAACCAGCCTGGATAACTTGGAGCGGATCACAGGCGTGACAGTCATGGAGAGGAAGAGGAGGCCATATCCTGTCGGGGAAAGGAGGAGAAAGAAAATGAAGAGACCCACTGAAATGAACTAACATGGCGGACTTCGGTTCGGCAAACTTAAGTGTCCTTGGATGTCCCAGCAACTGCCATTCAGACGCACTGAATGTCTCTGACACTGGAAGGGGAACACAGTTAGTGCTCTCTAGGAATACAGATAGACTGCCTCTGGGCCTGGAGGTTCCACAAGAGCATCATAAGAGCCTGCTGGATCAGGCCCAAGGGGCTCTGTTGGCAGGAGATGCTTAATCTCAGGGTCCTGGGTTCGAGTCCCACGTGGGGCCAAAAGGTTCCTGCATTGCAGGGGGCTAGATGATCCTTGCGTTCCCTCCAAACTCTACAATTCTGCGATTCTAGCACGGCTTCCTATGCCAACCAGATAGCACAAAGGGAAAGCCACGGTTGCACTCGGGACCTGAGTGTGATCTCCTCGCTTGCGCTTCCCACCCATCTTATAATCTCCCGAGGTGGAGGCACACCCAGGGGTCATCTAGTCTCACCCCCCGCAGTGCAGGAATTCAGAGGCACGCTGCCTCCCGACACTGAGGGCACGTAGCACAGAATGAAATGGATCAGGCCAGTGGCCCCTCTAGCCCAACCCCCTGTCCCCACAGTGGTCTACCAGTTGCCCCACAGGAAGCCCACAAGCAGGAGCCACGGGCAACGGTTCTTCAGTTCTGCACCGCCTGGTTTTCAGGGGTAGGCTGCCCCTGAGCATGGAGGTTCTGCTCCCACAGTAGGCCTCCATGCGGAGAGCCCGGCAGCAGGATCAGGCCAGGGACCCATCTGGTCCAGCTTCCTTATTCTACACAGGTGCTTGGGAGACGGACTCCCATTCCCTGGACGTTTTAAAGCGGAGGCTTGGTGTCCATCTGCCAGGGACTCTTTAGCTGCGACCCCTGTGCGGACGGTGGGTTGGGCTAGATGACCGCCGGGTGTCCCAACTCTCCAACCCTCAAGCAACGCCTCCTCTCCCAGGAGCAGCACCTGTGAACATCAGGGGTGTGGTGCTCGCCAGTGCGATCGCCCCCAGGCCCAGGACGTTGGAGAGCAGGCCGGCTTCGGCCACCCAGCCGTCCTCGAGGCAGTTCTGGAGCAGGCGCAGCCCCAACAAGCTGGATAGGTAGGCCAGGTAGTGAGCGGCCGAGCCGTAGCCGATGAGCTCCGAGCCCCAGCAGAGCGGGGTGCTCAGCTCGTACAGCACCAGCAGGTCCGAGGCCCCGAAGTGCACGCTGACCACCAGGAAGAAGGCAAGGGAGTAGAGGAGCAGCTTGCGCCACTCCCAGCCCCGGGCGCCGGGCGCATAGAGGCGGAGGACGGAGGCGTAATGGCGGAGGGTGAGGAGCCTCGTGGGCTGCCTGGGCGCCACCGATTCCCGCATGCAGACGGCGGCGTAGAGAGCAGCGGCGAGGCTAGCGGAGAAGGCCAGCCAGAAGGGAGCCGCGTAGCCTTGGGCATGGCGCCACTGCCCGCCCAGGAGGCTGGCGCCCATCCCCGCCAGGCCCAGGCAGGCCTCCAGGACGGCCACGCGGAAAGTGCGCCCTCGCCGGTCGCTGACGTCGGCTGTGTAGGCGAAGGAGGCGGCCAGGATGAGGTTGTAGTCGCCCGAGAGGCCGGCCAGGATGCGGCCCAGCAGAAGCCAGGCCACGGGGAGCCGGAGGGACATCACCGCCAGGAAAATGGCCGCCTGCAGAGCCATGCCCAGAGAGGCGATGGCGAGGGCCGGGCGGCGCCCCGCGGAGTCGCTCCAGGGGCCGAGCAGCGTGACGGAGAAGAGGCCGACCAGGAAGCCGGCCAGGTTGAGGTAGAGGTTCCAGTGAGCCACCAGGGTCTCCAGCTCCTGAGAGAGAGAGGAAGGCAGAGGGCCGTGAGGCAGGAGGAGGGAGCTGGACTACTGCAAGGCGCTCTTCGTGGGGCTGCCCTTGGGCCTGGTTCAGAAGCTACAGCTGGCGCGGCTGGATTGCTGGCAGGAGCTGCTGGCCAAGAACAAAGGATGCCCACCTGCTGCTGAGCTGCGTTCGAGGGTCTTGCGTTAATGTACAAAGCCCCGAGCGACTTGCGTCTACAATCCCTAAGGGGTCGCCTGAACCCTTCTATCCTAGCTTGCTCACTGAGATCACCCGTGGTGCGGCTCACTTGACAACAATGAAAAACCAAGCCTCTAGGGTCATGGACCCAGTCTTGTGGAACTCCCTGCCACTGGAGATGCAGCGGGCACCTACTAAAAACTTTTCTATTCCGCCTGGTCAAGGCAGGCCATGAAGAATACAAGGGTTCGCTGGTGTTTGCTTTTAATTCTTTGTTTGCTTTTAACTCAGTTTCATTTTTTTACTATTTTATTGTACGGTTTTATGTTTTTACATTGTTGAAAACCGCTGTGATATATTTTTAAGATACAGCAGTATATAAATATCTATTATAAATAAATAACTTAGAACTGGGAATTTCCCCTGCCTGAAACCCCGCAGAGCTGCTGCCAGTCAGTGTAGGCAATACTGAGCTGGGAGTCCAGAGGGTCTGACTTGGTCTATACGTCTGCAGTCTCTTAGGATGCCATAAAGGCTGATGCTGCTATTGTTGTTGTTTTGCATACCGCTCTTCATTCATAGATCTCAGGTGGGTTCCCAGCATTAAAATCCAAGATAAAAACATGAAATACATAATAAAAGTAAGAACAAAAAAAGCCACAGACCCCCTATTATCTTTTATACACACAAACATTCTTCTTCGTTTTCTTTTAAATATGTGGTTTCTATTCAATTCCTATTTAAAAACTTTTTAATGGCTGTTTCCTATTTTATCTGTGTTTCTGCGTTTGTTTTTCTCTGTAGCCCCACCTCGAGTCCCAACCTGCAGCAAAAGGTGGGAGAGAAACAAACGCAGCAAGAACAACAGGACCCCCAGCCTGAAACCCAGAGGAGAACTGCTGCCAGTCTGTGCAAGCAGTCCTGATTCTGATGGAGCACGAACGTGCCTGGCTCTAAGGCACCTTCCCGGCTGCAGAGAGCCTGCCTGTCAGGCGCAGTCTACCCCAGCCCAGCCCCACCGGGGTCCCTGGCCCTGAAGGCGCCCGGAGAGCCCCTCGGAAGGGCCACGCACCTCCTCCTGCTTGGCGGAGCCGCTCCCGTTGGCGCATCCTCCTCCTCCTCCCGGCCGGGCGGCGCTGCCCTTCCCGGCGCCGAGGCGCTCCCACAGGTACTGGGTGCAGAGCGGAGCCTGCAAGCCCAGGGCCAGCGTGGCCAGCAGCAGCACCGGCTCCACGGCCCGCGGGCGCGCCCCCTCCTCCGGCTCGTCCCCGGGCGGCTCCGACGGGGGCCCCGACACCTGCTCGGCCATGGCGGCGGCGGCAGCAGCGACCAAGGGGCGGAGCGGCCACCAGCTCCGCCCGGCCCGAGGCGAGGGCGAAGGGCGGGCCATGGCCAGGTCGGTAGGAGGGAAGGAGGCGGCGGCCCGGGCGCGGGACGCGGAGGAAGGCGCTGCCGCCGCCGCCGCCGGAAAGGGAAGCGCCGACGCCACGGCAAGAGGACGGCTGCGTTCAGAGAGCCTGGGGAACTGGGAAGAATCCTGCCGGCGTGCTTGGCTTCCTCTCTCCTCGATTCATAGGGACTAGACACTTGGCGGCATTGTTGTTGTTTAGTCGTTTAGTCGTGTCCGCCTCTTGGTGACCCCCTGGACCAGAGCACGCCAGGCACTCCTGTCCTCCACTGCCTCCCCCAGTTTAGTCAAACTTATGCTGGTAGCTTCGAGAACACTGTCCCACCATCTCGTCCTCTGTCCTCCCCTTCTCCTTGTGACCTCCATCTTTCCCAACATCAGGGTCTTTTCCAGGGAGTCTTCTCTTCTCATGAGGTAGCCAAAGTCTTGGAGCCTCAGCTTCAGGATCTGTCCTTCCAGTGAGCACTCAGGGCTGATTTCCTTCAGAATGGAGAGGTTGGATCTTCTTGCAGTCCATGGGACTCTCCAGAGTCTCCTCCAGCACCAGAATTCAAAAGCATCCATTCTTCGGCAATCAGCCTTCTTTATAGTCCAGCTCTCACTTCCATACATCACTACTGGGAAAACCAGAGCTTGAACTATACAGTGGTACCTTGGGTTAAGTACTTAATTCGTTCCGGAGGTCCGTTCTTAACCTGAAACTGTTCTTAACCTGAAGCACCACTTTAGCTAATGGGGCCTCCCGCTGCTGCCACGCCGCTGGAGCACAATTTCTGTTCTCATCCTGAAGGAAAGTTCTTAACCCGTGGTACTATTTCTGGGTTAGCATAGTCTGTAACCTGAAGCGTATGTAACTCGAGGTACCACTGTATGGACCTTTGTTGGCAAGGTGATGTCTCTGCTTTTTAAGATGCTGTCTCGGTTTGTCATTGCTTTCCTTAAAAAGAATGAAAGCTGAACATTTAATGGAGATGGGCCAACAACATATGCCCCACTGGATCAGGTCCCAGGGGGCTCCTCTAGTGCAGCCTCCTGTTCTCACAGTGGCCCTTGGGAAACACTGCGAGCAGGATCCCAGCGCAACAGCCCTCTCCTCTGATGCGCCTTTCAGCGCCTGCTCTTCAGAAGGGTTAATGCTTCTGCAGGTGGAGACTGAGCATAGAAATCACGGCCAATAGCCCTTGATTGCCAAGATCAACATCCCAAAATGGTTTTCGACCACAGTGATTTTCACCGACAGACAGCTTCAAGAAAAATGCAGAGAGCAAAACCAACCCCTTGATAAGGAAAAAATCCTGGGGTGCAGATTTACTCCCCTGCCCAGCACGTCGGGGTGCAACTTCCCGCGGGTCTCTCTGGGTCAGCAAAGAAGGAGTCTCCAGCCAAGTTAAAGAAGCAAATAAAAAGGTAAAGGTAAAGGTACCCCTGCCCGTACGGGCCAGTCTTGCCAGACTCTAGGGTTGTGCGCTCATCTCACTCAAAAGGCCGGGGGCCAGCGCTGTCCGCAGACACTTCCGGGTCACATGGCCAGCGTGACAAGCTGCATCTGGCGAGCCAGCGCAGCACACGGAACGCCGTTTACCTTCCCGCTGGTAAGCGGTCCCTATTTATCTACTTTCACCTGGGGGTGCTTTCGAACTGCTAGGTTGGCAGGCGCTGGGACCGAGCAATGGGAGCGCACCCCGCAGTGGGGATTCAAACCGCCGACCTGACGATCGGCAAGTCCTAGGCGCTGAGGTTTTACCCACAGCGCCACCCGCGTCCAAAGAAGCCAATACTGGTCAGTAGACCTGATTTTTATTTGTCACAACAAGGTTCAAACACACAGACCCCTGAGCATGGGGTTGCATGAACTTCTAAGACCTCTCCCATAATACATTTTTCAACAGCATCATCGAGACATCACAAATATGTCACAAAGTAGGAGTGTTTGGCATGTAGAAACATGAGCCCATCACCCAACCTTGTCAATCACCCCAGTTCTTCCCAACACCTTTTAACCACATTCTTCCCCAAAGAACAATAAAAGTGTTTACACATCCCCCTAGTAGCTGCAAGGCTTTCCTGCGCTTCTCCTTTGAATGTATCAGGATTCAATCAACCATCCCGATGGATTTCTTGCTTAAAAATCAGGTGTGAGGAGGCGCCTCCGTGGCGTTGGAGCCTGTTCTTTGCCCTCTGAGGAGATGCGGGTGTGCTGGGGGCAGAGCCCAGTGGTCGTGCCCTCCTTGTTCCTTGGGGCTGTGAACCCAGGCTGCAGGCAGGGCCAGGGTGCAGAGAGCCTCTCCCCGGCCTCAGCCAGTGAACCCGACCAGGCGTTTATGACCCATAATTGCAGATTGCAGGGCCTGACTTTTGCCAGGGACTCTATGTGCTCCTCTCGCTGCTTCCGAAGAGACAGGAGCAGGACAGGAGGTTGAGAAACAGGGAAGCAGCTGTTCCCCTCTCTAGGGACAGCTAAAGGTTAAAAGGGGTCAGGCAGATCCGGCTGTGGAAAATAAGGCTCTGTTCTCCGAGTTGGTAAATGCTGGAATCTCAAGTGGTGAGAGTTTCTGCTGTTGGGCTCAGGTTCTGGCCATCTGGTTTGGTCTGATCCACTCGCAGGCAGTGGCGTAGCGTGGGTTGTCAGCACCCGGGGCAAGGCAAGTGGGTTGTCAGCACCCGGGGCAAGGCAAGTAATTTGCGCCCCCTAACCTGTGGATTTGCGCCCCCTAACCCTAACCCCCAGATGTTGCGCCCAGTGCGGCCGGGCCCCCCTGCACCCCCCACGCTACGCCACTGCTCGCAGGGCTCTCCATATGGAGGTTTACGGTGGCAGCAGAACCTCCATGCCCATGGGCAGTCTACCTCTGACTGCCAGGTGACAGGGAACACTTGCTGCTGTTGCCCTCAGGCCTTGCTTGTGGGCTTCTTCCCTCTGGGACATCTGGTGAGTCACAGGGAGAATGTTGGGTGAGACCCTTTGGCCTTATCCAGGTGCAGCCAGGTGCTCTTCTGGAGTTCTTAGAGCCCACCTAGAGCCCACCTAGCCCAGCGCCCTGTCCTCACAGTGGCCAAGCAAGTGTTAGGGCAAATCAGCCTCTGACCATGGAGCAGAACACAGCCCTTGTGGCTAGCAGCTCTCAATTGCCCTCTCCTCCTCTGTGAATGAGTCCAATCCTCTTTTTATTTTATTTTATTTTGAATTCTTAGAAATATTTTAATGGGGAAGCACACACAGGTTTTACACTTTTCTATGCCAACAGCACATCTTTTCATTTTAAGGTTTTAAAGTTTATATTAGAATTGTCATTTTTAAAAAATTTAATTGACCCATATGTATTCAGAATGCTTAATCCTGCATAATTTTATCTTTTTCTTTCTGAAGGTTTATTCCATCATCTTTTATTAATTTTATTTCACAAAATTTATGCACTGCTTGTTTGTAAAGGACACCTCAAAGCGGTTTACTTATTTCAATTCCATTTCCAAGATATTGTTGGAAAAAGCAGGGCCGGCCTTGTCCTCTTCTTCCTGATAAGATAACTGAGTCCAGTAGTTGCAAAAGCTTATATAATCTTTAATAAGGAATCTGTCACCCCATTGATCACCAGGGTTGATTTGGCTGATCTGGCTGGCTAGGCGGGTGTCCCCTTCCTTCCTCACCGCTCCATGTGCATCCCTCCCGAAGCTGCGCGCTCGGTGGAAGAGGACGACCATCCCAGATAGGAGGAGTGTACCGTTCTTTGGTCAAGGGTATACGATAGCTGCGCTCCCCTGCTAGAACCTCCAAACAAGCTCAAGGTCCAAATCCTCTTTTCGAAGCCTTCTTGGTGGTGGCACCCACAGCCTCCCTTCAGATGTCAAGGAAATAAACTACCACCTGACTTTTAGGAGACATCTGAAGGCAGCCCTGACAGGGAAGTTTTTAACGTTTGATGTTTTATTGTGCTTTTGGTATTCTGTTGTGAGCCACCCAAAGATGGGCAGGGTATAAATGAATTATTATTATTATTATTATTATTATTATTATTATTATTATTATTATTATCCTGTGGCAGGGAGTTCCACAGCTTAACTCTGTGCTGCACAGTTGGGCACTTAGATCTGGAGAGCCTTTGATGATCTTGATGAAACAGTGGAAATGGCCCTGCTGGACCTTCCAGATGTTCTTGGGCTGCAGCTCCATTGTCCCTGACCATTGGCCATGCTGGCCACTGAGGAAGACTGGAGTTGGGGCCCAGAAATGTCCATGAGGCCACAGGGGTGTCTGAGACAAGACATTTCTGGTGGCCATGGAGCTTCTTCACCTGGCTGATATCAAGCAGGCCCCTGCATTCTTTTCAGCCCCTGCTTAAAACATTCTTGCTTAGACAAGCCTCTGCAGGCACTTAGAAAGCCTCTGCAAGTTTTGTTCTTAGTATTTTAACTTTTCTGGTGTTTTAAAGTATTGCTGCGATTTCCCCTTGGTTTTATTGTTTAATCTTCTCGTAAATCGCTTTGACGAATTTTTTTTAAATGGTTTATATCATCTCTGGTGTTTTGTTCTTTTTTTTAAAAAAAATAGCTTATTAAGGGTTTTCTTGTTTTACAGTGTAAGTGTAATGCCTCGTGTTTTTTTTTCATGTAACATTTTTACAAATCCGTTTCATTTGTTGAGGCATTAGGGGGAGAAAAAAGAAAAGGAAAAAAAATGAAAGGGGGGTGGAGGGAGGGGAGATGGATGGGGGTGGGGTCGGGTAGCGGTGTTTCTGTTATGCTTAATGTATGTAGAGTTTGGTGTCAGCGTTGCTTGTGTTGTTCACTTGTGTTCCTTTGGTGGTGAGAGAGGTTGGGGTTGGCCTAGTCCAGGGGTCTGCAACCCGCGGCTCCGGAGCCGCATGTGGCTCTTTTACATCTTTGCCGCGGCTCCGGGGCGGATACTAGCGAGGGGAGGCGGCGCATTGTGCGCCCCGACACTCCTCACTGTGGCAGGCGCTGTACTGGCTGTGACGTCACATGGGGGTGGTGCGTGCGTTAGTCACGCACTGTCCCGACGTCACCTTCCCG